TTTTGACGGCGGTACAGGCCCATCTTCCCCGAAGGGTTGATCGCAGTTAGATCCGCGAATTGTTTGTTTTAGTCCCATTACGGGTTCAGGTTGTTGTTCGTCCTTCAAAGGGATCAAACCAGAAGACGAGAAAACCCCATCCCGAACAGACGAAGGGGGAAGCCAAAAACGCCACCCCTTCAGTGCCACTCTTCTGCACCGTTTCACTGAAACAACTTCGGAGAGCTCTATTTCGTCACTCAGAGCTGTAAATCTCCTTTTTTTTTTTTTTGCCCGAACTTAAGAGTATCCGTCTATGGATCTTGAATCGGTTTTTTGTGCACTTTGGCCTCACCGTCGAGGGCCCCTGCATAGCCGACCGACATTTCCGGTTGAGTCCGTACAATCTCCCACCGGCCGGCCTTTCCTTCATCATGCAGAAAAGCGTCTAGTTGCGTAAGCTAGCCGAGAGGAAGGCGATCAGTGCCGCCTAGAGGCAACGGCTAAACCAGGCACACAGAATGAGGAGAGAGGAGAGAGGAGCTCTCATCAGTTTTTTTTTTGGATTTTCAGGAAGAAGTTGTAATTATAAGGGACTTGGTGGCGGAAATGCAAATTAGTCCGTGTAAATAAAAAATTTGTTGTTTGCCAAAGTTCAAAGCAAGTCCTTTAAGATATGAATTGTTGCACTTTAGTCATGTATCGTGTGTGTTAAGTCATTTGAGAGCTTTCAACTCAAGTATAGAGAGTAAATTTAGCTTCTTAGGGGTCGTATGGAAGTTGCGAATGTTAAATAGTTGTATTGTAATTAATCACCATAATATAAATGCATGTATTGATACAATGGATGCATTTTAACAACACATTGTTTGATTGTCGAGATTCTACTTTATGAATTGATTTACATGAAGTTACTTTTATGGAAAATGTCACATTTACCCTCAACTTTTAGAATAAAAAAACAAATTATAGGGATAATAATGGAAAGAAAAAGTTGACACAAATCTAAAACCAACAATCTCAACTTTTAGTTGAAATGCATCATTTTTTGTGATTGTTGCTGGGCCTACTGAAAACAATGCATGCATTGTTTTACATTTTGACACTTCCAAATATTGTATTGTGGACAAGACATGTATTCAACAAACACAACTCTAAACAATACAACTTCCAAACCACCTTTAATTAATTATGGGCGCTGAAAACCAGAGATATGGGATTATGACTATTGATGAAGACCGATATTTGCGGCCAACAAGTATTTTATCGTCCTTTTTCATTTCAATAGATAAGATTTTCCAGATTGCCCTACTATTTGAATGTACAAAGCCCCTCTACTCTTTATGGTATTAACCCAATCAAAAAACGACTCCCTTTCCTTCTCCCTGCTGTACTTTACCCAATTAGAAAAACGATCCCCATAAATTCGGATCTCCAATTATACGCATCCACAATCCCCCTGCCTCGACCATTCTTTCCATCCCCATCTTCTTCCTCCTTCTCCAAAAAAACAACACCGCCATGGCGGCCACCACCGACAAATCAAACGAACCGGTGCACGTGCTCGTCTTCCCTTACCCAGCACAAGGCCACTTAATCCCTCTCCTCGACTTCACCCACCACCTCGCCGTCCGCAGCGCCGGCCGTCTCAAGATCACCATCCTCGTCACCCCCAAAAACCTCCCGCTCCTCCAGCCGCTCCTCTCCCGCCACCCTCCCACCGTCATCCAATCCCTCACCCTCCCTTTCCCTCCCCACCCTTCCATCCCTCCCGGCGTCGAGAACACCAAGGACTTCCCGCCGCCCAGCTCCGGCGCCCAGCTCCTCATGATGGCCGCCCTCGGCGACCTCCGCTCCCCTCTCCTCACCTGGTTCCGCTCCACCAATTCCCCTCCCTCCGCCATCATCTCCGACATGTTCCTCGGCTGGACCCACCGCCTCGCCGCCGACCTCGGCATCCCTCGAGTCGTCTTCTCCCCTTCCGCCGCCGTCGCCTTGTCCGTCATCTACTCCCTCTGGCGATATATGCCCAGCCTCCCGGAAAACCCCGATTCTCCATTCACCTTCACCAACCTCCCCAATTCCCCCACTTGGCCCTCCTCCCAGCTCTCCCCGATGTACCGCTCTTTCGTCGCCGGCGACTCTGTTTCCGAATTCGTCAGGGACGGGTTTCTCGCCGATATGGAAAGCTGGGGGGCTGTTTTCAATTCGTTCCGCGGATTGGAATCCAAGTATTTGGACTATTTGAGGAAGGAATTGGGGCACGATCGGGTGTGGGCGGTCGGACCTATACTCCCTCCTCCCGATGAAGGTAATCGGGGGAAGGATCGAGGTGGGGCCAGCTCTGTCTCGGTTGCCGACCTCGAGGCGTGGCTGGACACGTGTCCCGATGACGGAGTCGTGTACGTCTGCTTCGGGAGCGAGGCCGTGCTGACGGAAGATCAGACGGCGGCTCTGGCTTTGGGATTGGAGAGGAGTGGGGTCCGCTTCGTGTGGAGCGTGAAGGGCGGGGGAGGGGGACACGTGGCGAGGGAGTTCGAGGATCGGGTGGCGGGAAAGGGCGTGGTGATTCGGGGGTGGGCCCCGCAGGTGACGATACTGGGTCACCGGGCCGTGGGCGCGTTCCTGACTCACTGCGGGTGGAACTCGGTGCTGGAAGGGAGCGTGGCCGGGGTGCCGATGCTGACGTGGCCGATGGGAGCGGACCAGTTCGTCGACGCGACGCTGCTGGTGGAGGAGGTGAAGATCGGGGTGAGGGTGTGCGAAGGGAAGAGCTCGGTGCCCGACCCGGACGAGCTGGCGCGGCAGCTGGCGGAGCTGATGGCGGAGGAGGGCCGGGAGGAGAGGAAGCGGGCAAAGGAGCTGAGCCGGGCGGCGGTGGAGGCCGTTGGAGATGGCGGGAGTTCGGCCGAGGATTTGGATTCGCTGGTCAAAGAATTGGTCAAGCTGACTTCACCATCAGACGTACAAGTTAGTTAAATTAACCGTCCCACGTGCGTTGTAACGTGGGAAGTTGTAGTTCTTGAACTGCAAATTTGGCGCCTGTTTCTTGTTAGGCTGATGTCGACTTTTGGGCCTTCATTGGCATTCCGAATTTAGTGTTGGATAGTAACAATTCATATGCTCTGGTGAATTGCTGTCCGAGGTCGTCTGCTCCAGTGAAAGCATTTAGTTCCATCCCAAATCTCACCTTGATTACATTAGCATATCCTACATATGAAAATGAAGCAACAACTTGTGCAGCAAAGTAAGGAACTTCGACCAAAAAAAAGCACAAGTTCCCGGGGCTTTTGTGAAAAGTATAATCTGTTTGCTTTTCCAGCTTCGAGCATATCTTAGTTTCTGAAACCACACAGTGAAAATCAACCTGCAAATCTACCGTCTCCGCACCTGCTGCTGCTGCAACAGTGATCTTCCTAACCAACTTTGCCGCGTGGACCCTGAAAGCATTTAGTACTGAAATCCCTGAGAATTCATGACTGGCAAGCTTCCTCTGGTTGCACCACTTATCACGATCCGTTCCACAAATTTCATCCCAAATAGATCGCTCATAATTCCGAGATTATTCTCCCCTTAATGAAATAGGCAACAAAGAAAGCGTAAACATAAACACGGGACTTCAATCAGCAGAAGGAAGAAGCAAAGCAGAAGAATCTGAAGCCAGAGAGACTAATCAGAACAAAGTAGCCATACCTTTCCATATTGGGGGAAGTTGATTTCAATGTGTATCAACAGTACCAGGATCCACTGTATAAATTTCCGTGGCAAGGAGCAAGAGATATCTGATAATCGAAGAGCGTCTTATAGTGAACAAGTGGCATAAGAACTGGACCAAACATGGAGGCAGCTGATGATTCATCACCACTGTTTCTTTGATGTAGAACAGCACATACTGTGAAACAAATACTACAACGAAGAATGTCACCAACCCATAAAGAAGCAAGATGATGGAAGTCTGAGAGTAACCCAGAACAAGAACAAGCCATAGGAAGGCCACGCATCCAGAGAGATCAGGTCAGGATTATACGGAAACTATAAAGCTAAATTGCAGAACGTTTTTCTTTTCATTTTCAATCAATCATGGATTCTTTTAAAATAAAATTTTAACTGATTCTATCGAGCCAACCGTGTAAGCATTTGGATCCGGATAGCAGTTAATGGCGATAGGTAAAAAAACGAATTGCAGTATTTTCAACGCCGACCAGAACCTTGAGAGTTGAAAATACTGAGAAAGAAAAGCTTCATAACACTGTCTACATGCTAGCTGATAATGCCAGTGTAGGAATCCTGTCAGACTAAATACCTTTCTAAAACGACTGTCCACATGGCAGCTGATAATGCCAGTTGTAGGGGATAAAAACAGAAATCGCTATATGAGTTTTCAGACAGCAAATTGCAGCAAGTTAGATATTGCATGTATAACAAATTAACAATGGATTTTGCCTATGAATGTTCTTCGTTGGAACTCATCGTTGAAGTATTCTGGCTCTTCCGTCCTTGCAGATTTCAGCTACTAGGCTCGATTATAACTTCTCAGGGGAATCTCCTGTCGATGGACAAGTCGTAATTCATCTTCATCAGCTTCCACAATCCACATAGACACCTGCCTGGTTGCAGCACCTACAAGTCTGCATCAACCATGGAAGGATCATGATGAACTAGTTGTTTGATCAAGTCAAGTCGTATGAATTATGTTCAAAACATTTTTCCCTTTCATTTCTTCAATCACGTTAGCACTTACAACTTACAAGTTCTGTATCAATCATGTCAGTATAACGTGACAATGGAGTCCTGAACAAAAAGGTAGTCACACAGAAGCCATCGTGACCCGCAACTAAGACAGCAAGAATACATAGAAAAGACTGGAAATAACCAAATTATCCAGATTCGCAAAAATGAGACTTTCCATGACAAAGGACACACCAGAACTGTGAACATTGAACCACAGGCAATATAATGTTCAACTTTCTCAGTGCGAGGACGATGTCTTACCAGCAAGCCAAACCTAAACTCCTGCATTGTTAATATCCCCTCACCCCTCGCTTCGACTTGATATAATAATCTCTCATCCATCTCGCACGCTTCCCAAGAAGCAAACCCGTCTTCTCCTCTTGCTCTTTGGCAAGCTTCCTCTTCTTCTCCGCTCTCCTGGCGAACCGCTTCCTCCAATTCTTCTCCACAAAAGAACTCGACCCTGCTTCCGCCACCACGACGACCTTGCCGAACACCTCGCAGTATTTGGCCTCCCACAGCTGATTGCTGGAGGCGGACAGGCTCCGGAGGCCAGCGCACACGCATTCCATCCTCGCCAGGGCCTCCGCCGGCAGCAGCGCCATGATCCCGAGCTTGAGCTCGTCCGGGAGGGTGGAGAAGCAGTTGGGCACAGGCAGCCCTGCCTCCTCCGTGATGTCGATCAGCAATGGGAAACAGAGCCCGTCCTTGATCGTTCTGCGAAACTCCGTAACGTCTCCACTGGTGATAACCGACGCGAATGCTCCGGCCTTGTTGAAGATCAGCTTGCGCAGAGGCGAACCGTTTTCCCGGGCCAGAGAGCCGCAAATCACCAGGAAGTTACCCAATGGCTGGAATTTTACTTGTACCGACGGCGGCACTTTGTTCTTCGTCTGGTCATTCAGGGCAGGAAGGGTGTAAGAGACCGAGAGTGTGGAATTCCGGCAGTCGAGGAAATTTTTTTGATCGACAGTATGGTAACCGACGAAACCGAATTCCAAGAACACGGAGTCGATCTCAGTGACCAAGAGCTGGATCGCCTTGCTTTTCAGAGACCTCAGCCAAAGATCCATGGTGAAGAGTTCGCTAAACCTAGAATTTTCCCCCCTTTCCCAGACCTAGCCCAAAAACTGATGATTGGAGAAATCCGGAGAGTCGGGGACCGTTCCTTCTTTTTATAGAGGGGGAGAGAAGGTAATGTATTAACACGATCGGAATCGGATCCTTGAATTTTTTTTTTTTTTGCCGGGATTACGGCCAAAGAATATAAAGGATTTATTTCCCAAAATGCGAAACTTACTATAAACAATAATCCCAAAATATCAAGGTTGTCAACCCGCGGGTCGACCAAGGTTCGGTTGATTTAGTGGGTCAAAAGTTAATAGGTTACCCAATTTAGCTCGGAAATATGAAAAGAGTAATTATATTATACTTTTCTTGAATCTAACATAGAAAAAATACAACAATACTTAAACTCCAACACACTTAAAAACATCAACTTAAATTCTATATAGTAAAAATTCAACGACACTTCATAACATGAGCCCGCTGACCAGCTTGGATGGGCCAACAGCCCGGGTTTTTCCGGCTTTGATCGGATTTTCCCGGGTTTAACCATTTTCGGGCTAACTCACAAATGGGTTGTTCTAGCCCGTTTTCAAGAGCGGGTTCGGGTCAAGTCGCGGGTTGACAACCTTGCAAAATACACAAATTTGAGATAGTTGTAATGTTCAGTGATTTGATTCCGATTTGTTGGAGATTAAAGTAATTTCACCCATATCACGGTCATTTAAAGTGTGATTTAGGTGAATTATCGGGAGTGATTATGGTGATTACTATAAATTACATTCGAGATATTATTAATATCTCAAAAATAGTAATCACCATGGTTACTAAGAGAAAATTGGGTATGAGAAAAAATATCTATTAATTTCCTTTTTTAATAAATTACATTCGAGATAGTTACAAAAATACATTAATTGCAATTTTCTCTCTCTTTCTCTCACTTCCGCAATCTCCAGCCAGATCTCGCCTTCATTTTTTCCCTCAATCTTTTCCTTATTTTCGTTGAGTCAAAATAATACCACTGCAAAAATAAAATAAGACATCAATACCAATCCGTTAGACAACCATTACCACTTCGGAAGACACCAATACCATTGCAGAAATAAATCAATATAATTATGAAAACTAATACCAATACAAAAATAAATATATACCATTACACTGAAACTACCAATATAGACAAATACAATAGTCAAACCAATACCAAAATCAACCAATACAACTACCACTGTGAAATCAAAACAATACCATTGCAGCAACTATATCACTTCATAAAAGGCTAAATTACACGTTTGGTCGCTCAAATTACATATATATTTCTTGTTTGCCACCCGAATTACTTTTCTTTCTTATTCGCCACAAACTTTATGAATCGTTTCACCATTAGTCACCGACCGTTAGTCTCTGTTAAACTCCGTTAACTCCGTCAGTTTTTTTGATGACGTGGCAAACGGACATCTGACTGGACTATTAATTTAATGACATGTCAATTTAAAAATAATAATAAAATAAAACAAAAATAGGAGTGGCTCCACCTACCCAACGTCTTCTACTCCTTCCCCAACCCCAACCTTGAACTGGAAAACACAAACCCTCATATTGAGAAGAATGGTAATAAAGCACAACACATAAAACAATTAATAGAAGCAGAAGAAGCCAAAATTCATTATAATCAAAATCCTCAAACACGAACCCTAAGAACCCAGAACGTAGAAGATGAATCGTCAATGAACCTAAAAGCTGTCAAGACATAAACTCTCTCCCCCCGATGAATTTATGAAGTCGCATCCAGATCTCCTCGGCGTCGACCTTATTCTTCGTTGCCCCTATATCCACTACTCCGACGGCGACTCTGTTGCCCTCACTGTCGCCAAGACCTCTCTCGAATTCGCCCAAGTCTCCACCATCCTCCCTAACGACATCATCTTACTCAATCCTCTTCTCCCCAAACGCATTTGCCTTAAACACTAGTGACCCTCCTTCCATTAACCTGTAGCACTCACACTGGAGACAGGTGATTAGCGACTCATTCTCCTCCCTCAATCGACAACAACAACAATCACCACTGGCGGGAGTTCCTTCTTCTAGATTCTTCACCGTTGACAATAAGAGCGCGTTCGGGCTTTCTCCACAATCAGATTCATCTGGATCTAGAGATTGAGGGTATCTCGAAGATATCCGAGGCCACCACCGTCTTCTTCTTTTCCTTCCCCCCAAGCTCATTTGGGGTCTCGCGAAGAAAGCCACGACAATCGTCGATGTCTTCTTTTTCTTCCTTCAGCTGCGCCTTCGATCTCGCGAAAGGGAGTTGTTCTCTCCTCAACTACGATCTGAATCGCAAACATGTGGCTTGAGATTTTTTTTATTTGTTACTTTCTTTGAGCACTATGGTGCCATATACGTATGGCTCAGTTTGATTTTCTCCCAGGATAGTGGATTTTTTTGGGTTGGAGATTCTTCTTGGGAAGCGGGCGGTGAAGGAATGGGCGAAGAAGAAAAGGGTGTAGCGGCCACTCCTATCCTAGTGCAAAATAACTATTTTTTGAATTTTTAATTTTTTTAAATTGACATGTCATTAATTTAACGGTCCAATCATCACTTTCGTTTGCCACGTCATCAAAAAACAGACGGAGTTAACTGAGTTTAACTGGGACTAACGACCGGTGACTAATGGTGAAATGATTCGTAAAGTTAGTGGCGAATTAGAAAGAAAAGTAATTTGGGTGGCAAACATGAAAATTTTATGTAATTTGAGTGACCAAACGTGCAATTTAGCCCTTCACAAAACAAAACAAATGAACCAGTACCAAAAAAAAATACAGTTCTAGATTTTTACCTTTCCCAGCTATCTTCCAGAGAGAGGACTGCAATAAACGGGACGGTGGCGGCTCCTTTTATAAGTCGAGTAGAGAGAGAAAGAGGGAGAGAGAGAGAGAGGATGGATGGTCGTTGGGTGGAGGGAGGGAGCATGGGATGGCGGGGGGAGGGGGTTATGGACTTATGGGTGGCGTGAGAGGGAAAGGGAGTGGAGAGCGGGCAGGGGCGGAGCCAGGATTTCGAGACCGGAGGGGCCGAAAATAATTAAATAAAAAACTAACATAATATTGTGTAATTATTTTAGAAGTACACGACGTTCTTTGAGATCATTGAAATCACTCAAAATAGCATCTAAACTAAAACTTTTAGCTATCACTCTTTCAATATAAATAACTAAACTATCAGCAAGAAATTCATCATTCATCTTGTTTCGCAGTCTATTCTTCACTATCTTCATAGCCGAAAATGCACGTTCACCTGTAGCAGTGGAAACTGGAAGAGTCAGGAGAAGACGAATCAGCCTATCAACAAGATAGAAGTCATTTGATAATCCTGTCTCTGTTAATCCCTGACATAACTCAGAAATAGACGATAGCTTCTGTAAAGAAGAATGATTAGGAATTTCAAATCCGAAAAGCCCCAACTGGAACTCTAGTGTATCCATTTCCTCTTCTGAAAAATCAAGAGGATAATACTCCTTTGCAAGCTTACAAGTAGCAGTAATGTCGAACGTCTTATACCCACTTTAGGTACCAAACTTGAGCTCAACTTCAGTAGCTCCACAACTCTGTCATTAAACCTTGACTCTAGTTCTGCGATTTGAACATCAACTGTAGCATTGAATACATCATAATGGTAATGATGTTCATTTGTAACATCTCGCTTTCGAATGGATCGACCTCTGAAAAATGGAGCACTAAGATCAGGAGCCTCAATATCATGTTTCTTGCAAAATGCAATGACATCAGCCAGCAAAGAATCCCACTCTTTCTCCCTAATTTCGCTAAAGAGTTTTTTTGTAGATTCCACCAATCTAATTGCATTGAGGATGTCTTGAGACTTACGTTGCAAAGCCACACAAAGCATATCAGTGGTGCCCAATATTTTCTTCATCATCAACAAATTGAACACAAAATCAAAAGACTTCATTCTTTCTAAAGCTGTAGTAGCATCCCATTTAGTTTTGGAGCTACTTCCGTCATTCATTATGTTCTCTAAAACTTTGCAAGTTGAACCATACAACCTGATAAGATTAGATATAGATCTCAAATGTGAACTCCAACGAGTATCACTAGGTCGTTGTAGAGTACTAACCTGATTAGCACCTTTTCCAGTCTCGATTTCACCTGTCGCTAGCTGAAGTGCACTTTTGGATGCTTCTGCGGCTTCTAATTGATCTTGGCGCTTACAATATCCAGTAACAGTAGTTACGATGCTTGACAAGTGTGTGAAAAACTCATGAACCCAAAATACATCTCTAGCAGCTGCAACTAATGATAACTGAAGACGATGAGCCATATAGTGTACATAATATGCTTGAGGAGAGTCCTTCAAAAATAATGCTTGCAACCCATTCCACTCACCACGCATGTTACTAGCACCATCATATCCTTGTCCACGAAGATTGTGAATTGGGAACTTATTGAAAGAAAGAGCTGAGCGGATTGCAGAATACAAAGTCTTTGATGTTGTATCTTCCACATGAATAATATCAAAGAAGCGCTCTTGTATAAACCCTTTAGCATCAACGAAGCGAAGAACAATCGCCATTTGTTCATGATTGCTTTCGTCACTTGCCTCATCCACAATTATTGAAAATTTAGAATCTCCCACTTCTTCAAAGATATGGGTCCTTACCTTCTTAGCCAAGACATGCAGAATTTGCTTCTGAATCTCAGGCGATATGTACTTCGCATTCAATGGAGCATTATCTAACACCACACTATTTATTTCTTCATTGTTATCGGCTAAAAATTGAAGATGCTCGATAAAGTTGCCCCGATTAGTTGACTCAATAGACTCATCGTGGCCTCTGAAAGCATGCCCTTGCAACGCTAACAAACGAGCAACCTGTATTGAAAATTTCACACGAAGTATATTCTTCTTCACTTCTTCAGAGGTTTGTCTCTCCATCGCTTTGTCAATGTGCCCAGATTGTTCTAGCAAAGCATCACGTTTTCTCACAGCATTA